TTTCTATATCTTCGTTTTCCCTATTTTTCCTTACAGAAAGATAAGAGAGAGGAGAGAGAGGAGAAGAGAGAAAAATGGGGATAAGATAGAAGGAGAAGGAGACGGAGAAAGAGAAAGGGGAAAAGCAAAAGAAAGAGAAGAAGGAGAAAGAGAAGAAGGAGAAGGAGAACGAGAAAGAGAAGAGAAGGAGAAGGAAAGAAAGAAAGAAAATATGCTGAATGCGGAATGAGGAAGAATAATCGATTATTATTATTATAATTATCATTATTATAATTATTATCATATTATTACTGTTATTATTATTATTATCATTACCATTATGAAGATAATTATCATTATATTATCATTATTATTATCATTATGATTATTATAATTACTATTATCATTATATTTTGTTATTATTATCATCATTATATAATTATTATAATCCTTATTATCATTATATAATTATTATAATCCTTATTATCATTATTATTATTACTATTATTACTATTATCTTTATTATTATTATCTCTCAGACATCCTTCAGAAGTGAGGGAATTATTGGCGAAGAACACCAGACTTTTCGAGACGCCCGTTCAGATATGGAGAGACCTTGACTTGCATAATTAGGCGGGAGAGAGGGGGGGGAGGGAGGGGGAGAAGGATGGGGAGGGGGGGGAGAGATGGAGGGGAAAGGGTGATAGGGTAGGAGGAGAGTAAGGGGGAAAGGGAGGTGGAAGGGGGAGGGAGAGGGAAAGGGGAGGGGGGAGGGTGGGAGGGAGAGGGAAAGGGGAGGGAGGGGAGGGGGAGAGATGGAGGGGAAAGGGAAAAGAGGGGGGGGGAGAGAGGAGAGGAGAGGTAGGGAGGGTAGAGAGAGAGAAAAGGGTGGTAGGGAGGGAGAGGAGGAGAGAAAGGGGTATTAGGGGAGGGGGAGAGATGGAGGGGGAAGGAGGGAGAGAGGGAGATAAAGAGGTGGTAGGGGAGGGAGGGTGGAGGGAGAGGGAGGGAGGGAAGGAAAGAAGGATGAGGAGGGGGAAGAGATGGAGGGGGAAGGGGAGGGAGAGAGAAGGAGAGGAAGTGGTAGGGGTAGAGAAAGAGAGAGAAATAAACAGACAAACAAACAGAGGCAGAGTTAGAGAGAGAGAGAAAGAACTGAGCCGATTAATTGCATAAGATAACAGATTTATGCAAACGAATGTGAAGAAAAAAGAAAATAGTTATTTTTTTCGCACCGGTATAATGCAGTTTCCGAATAAATGCATTTTGCTTTTAAATTTTCTCTCTATCTTGATATACATCTATCTATCTATCTCTCTATCTATCTGATCTTCACCCATCTATCTCTCTCTATCTATCTGACTCTCCACTTATCTATCTCTCTCTATCTTTCTCTGTATCTGTATGTCAGTCTATCTATCTTTCTGTCTCTATATCCATCTATCAATATATTCACCTCTCTCTCTATCTATCTATCTATATATATATATATATATTTATCTCTCCATCTGTCTATTCACACATACACATTTACACCCCCCCCCCTCTCTGCATCAACCCTTGCAACAGCAACACAGGACGACCTAAGTTGCAAGCCTCCAAAGTGGCTGTCATCCCCTCCCCTCCCCTCCCCTCCCCTCCCCTCCCCCCCCCACACTCTCTCCCCCTTTGCATCTCCAGGTTTCATCAATTCGCCTCGTAAGTCCTTTAATCAGGTAAATGAAGGTGAAGGTCACACGCTAATTATATTCACGCTGGATTAATCTTTGGTCACTCTTAGGGGGGTCTCGTCCAATCACAGCCGAGAGAAGCTGAGCCCGGTTGACCAATCAGCATCGAGCTTGGGAGGATCAGCGCGCTTCGGGGACCAATGGCGTTGCAGGGAATACGAGAGGGATGGGGAAGGGCTGGGGGAGGTTGGGAGGGAGGAAGGGGGAGGGAGGGGGAGGTTGAGAGTGGGGGTTGCGTGGGAAGTTTTATTTTCTTTTTTTTCTTTTTTTTTTGGGGGGGGAAGGAGAGGGGAGGGGGTGTTATTATTATTTTGTGTTTATTTAAAGGGATGTCTGAATCAAGAAGGAAAAAAAATGGCATTATTTTCGCAATAACTTTTTTTCATAAACGCTCCCCCCCCCTCCTTCTAAATAATAATAATAATAATAATACTTCTTTAATCTCCTCTAATCTGGTGCTTCGTTTAATCCTCCGTGAACGAATGATAGAACACTGAACAACGATGAACAGATTTGAAAAAAAAAAATGTTCAAAGGAAATCGATATTCACATCTTATACTTTGTTCAGTGTTACGTAACTGCATCAAGTTATGTAAAGTGAGAAAGAGGGGGGGGGGGGGAAGGGGAGGAAAGGAGGGGGAATGGGAGGGAGGGGGGAAAAGGGGGAGGGAGGGAGATAGATAGATAAATAGATAGATAGAGATAGAGATAGAGATAGAGAGAGAGAGAGTGAGATACAAACAGATAGACAGGCATACATAAATAAATAAACATACAGATAGATAGAGAGGGAGAGAGAGAGAGAGAGAGAGAAACAGACAGACAAATAAATAAATGAATAATATAATAATAACAACACAAACACAGACATACGATAGAATTAAATATACACCAAATTACACCAGCTTACATCAATATACGCTTACGAAACAAAATCACGCCCCCTCTCCCCCAAAAATAAAGAAATAATATAATATGATAATGATAATGATAATAATAATAATAATGGTAATGATAATAATGATAGTAATAATAATAATAATGATAATAATAACAGTAATAATAATAATAATAATAATAATAATAATAATAATAATAATAATAATAATAATAATAATAATAATAATAATAATAATAGTAATAATAATAACAATAATAATAACAATAATAATAATAATAATGATAATAGTAATAATAATAATAATAATAATAATAATAATAATAATAATAATAATAATAATGATAATGAAAATAGTAATAATAATAATAGTAATAATAATGATCATAATCTTTAAAAATCCCTCCTCCACCATCATTTGTCTTCCTGTTTTCATCTTGCATTGCACCAACTTGCGGTCCTTTCTCCTCTCTGTTGATTAGGTAATCGCCACGCACAATTCGGAAATCATCTGTGATCGAGTTTCTTGATTTAATTGATTCGATTTCTGTTTTTTTTTTTTTTAGGTTTCACGGGTAAGGAGGCTTCGTTCGTCTCGTTTTCTTTTCTTTTCTGTTTTTTTTTCTGTTTTTGTTGATTTTTTAAAAAATTATTTGTCGTTTTATTGGATCATCTGTTTGTTTTTCTTTTCTTTTCTTTGCTTATTTCTTTGTTTGATTCGTTATCTGATTCTCTGTTCATCTGTTCATCTCTTCGTTCATGTGTCTACATATTTGTCTTGTTTGTTTATTTACTTGTTTGTTTATCTCGTACTCTATTCACTTATTTATTCATCTGTTTGTTTATCCATTTATTAACTCCTCTATCACTTTCTTCCATAATTTCGATTTTATTTATAACTTAAAAAATACGGACAGAGTTTGATATCAACCGAATGTATCTCATAACGTATCTATTGTACTCTTAACTATTAAAATGATATATATATATATCAGCATCTTTGCATATCAGTTTTATCAACACAGAAATATATGTTTCGAGAAATAATGCCATTTGTTTTGTACAGTAACACACTAAGTACAGGGTATAGATCATCATATGTATACTGTATATATATACACACGAATAAAAAAATCGAGCATTGTAACGTATAAGTACAGATAATATTAACACTGGTATAATAGAAACAGGGAAAAAATGCTTTAATCCTGACAGTTTCATTTCATATGTATAAATGCATATATATACACACGAATATAACTATATATGTTGCCTTTGAATATCATATATATATTTTTTTAAATATAAGGGTTTTCATTTAATAATAACATTTAAGATAATGTAGTACGAAAATACAATCTCAACTACTGCGTTATATTTTGATCTAGCTTCATTAACAGTACAATTAAAAGCACTTTGACGACACTTCAGAATATTACAAGCGAATCTAGGCCACATTCTACAAGCACAGAAAGCAACAAGAAAAGTTTACTATTAAAGAAAGACAAAGAGCAAAATACACACAATAAAATAATAAAAAAAAAATGTATATTCTATTTAAGAGAACAGTTTTACTAAGCTTTATATACAATAGGGAGTGGAAAGGGAATACGATATATGCTAAAATAAGAGAAATTTTGCATGGATAATGAATATGCAATGTGGCAAGCAAGCAAGTGAGCAAGTAAACAAATAAAGGGAGGTGGGAAGTAGAAGTAAAAGCTGGAAATAAAACAACACAAAGACATTGATGTATGAGAGAATTATTTGTGAGGGTGTGTCTCTCTTTGTCTGTCTGAGTGCTTGTATGTATGTATATATATGTATGTATATGTATGCATGCTTCTCTCTCTCTCTCTCTCTCTCTCTCTTCTCTCTCTCTCTCTCTCTCTCTCTCTCTCTCTCTCTCTCTCTCTCTCTCTCTCTCTCTCTCTCTCTCTCTCTCTCTCTCTCTATATATATATATATATATATATATATATATATATATATATATATATATATATATATATATATACATATATATATATATATATATATATATATATATATATATATATATATATATACATATATATATATATATATATATATATATATATATATATATATATATATATATATATAATATAGAGATAGAGATAGATAGATAGAGATAGAGAGAGAGAGAGAGAGAGAGAGAGAGAGAGAGAGAGAGAGAGAGAGAGAGAGTGAGAGAGAGAGAGAGAGAGAGAGAGATACTGTATATGATATACCCTCTACCTCTCTCTCTCCCTTCCTCTCCTTCCCTTTCTCTCACTCATGCAGGTCCGCGTGTGTTTATGTGTGCGTGCAGAAGGAAGCGAGGGAGCCGCCCGCCCACGCGCGAGGCCGCCCCCCCGCGGCGACTCACCCCGAAGCCTAGGACGACGAGTGTGACCAGCGTGCCCGAGGCGGCCACCACGCCCACCGCCCGTACCCACTCGCGGACGAGGCCCTCCCGCAGGAGGAGGCCGCCGCGCCGGCCGTCCGACTCGCCCTCGCTGCCCTCGCCCGCGCCCACGGAGGCGCGGTGGTGCCCCTGGCTGATGCAGGCGTCGGCGCGCTGCTGGTACGAGAGGCCGACGGTGCTGACCTCGCCGTCCTCCTCGCACGCCTCGCCCGTGTCCTCGAACCTCCGGATGATGTGCTCGCTGCGGCTGTGCGCGTGGGCGTCGCGGCCGCGGCCCGCCCGCGCGCCGCCCGCCCGCCCGCGGCACTGGCTGTGCGTGTACGGCAGGTCCACCCGCACGTCGCCCTCCAGCACGCTCTCGCCGCCCTCCTCCTCCTCCTCCTCCTCCTCGGGGCTCGACCTCGGGGACTCCGCGTAGAAGGCGCAGCTCTCGGCCGCCCGCGCCCGCGCCGTCTGGCTCTGGGCGCGCTGTCGGGCTCGCTCCTGCACGTGCGGGCGGACTCGGCTCGCCTGCTCGTGCCGCCTCGCGCCCGCGGACCGCGCGCGGGCGGGCTCCTCGCGCCCGAACTGCCACTCCTGGGCGTATGTGGGCGCGCTGTAGTGGCGGCTTACCTCCACGTCGCTCAGATGGGCGGGGTTTTGAGCAGGGATGTGAGCAGCGTGGGCGTGGCCAGCGGAGTGGGCGTGGGACGTCGCGTGAGCATGATTGGCAGCATGAACATGAGCAGTCGTGTGGGCGTAGCTGGCATTGTGGGAGTGATTGGCGATGTGGGCGTGAGTTTGAGCATTCGCGTGGGCGTACTCGGCCGCGTACTCGCGGTGGGCGCCGGGGTACTCGGCGTCGGCGAAGGCGGCGTGAGCGAAGGCCCTGTCCTGACACACGTGGTACGGGTTGTGGGCGTAGAGCACGGGGGCGGAGGCGTGGGCGTACTCGCCGGGCGTCGCCATGTCATGGCTGTAGTCGTGGGCGTAGAAGCTTCGAGAGAAGTTCCTTGCCTGCGTCCTCCTCTGGGCGTAGTTGTGGGCGTACCACATGGCGGCGGCCGCGGGCGGGGCGTGCGTGGGCAGCAGTGCCAGCCTGTGCGCTGCCAT